TGGTGCGGGTAGAGAGGCCCGTGCTGCGCATCCCCCACCTCGCCATCCACCTGCAGCGCGGCATGAACGAGAGCTTCGGGCCCAACACTGAGCACCACCTGTGAGCACCCCCGACCCCTCCCTGCCACTCCTAGCCGTCCTGAGCTTCTGCCACCCAGGCTGGGGTCTTGTGGGCAGGCCCCTGGCAACGCCCCCCAGGCTCCCATTGCCCCGGGGTGCTGGCAGGGGGTGGGGGAAGTGCCCAGGTGCCCACTGTGCCCCTCCGCAGGATCCCGATCCTGGCCACCACCGTGCAGGAGGAGCTGGAGAAGGAGACGCTGGAGGCCGGAGCACCCTGTGCTGCCAGCATCCAGGTGCGATGGGGCAGGGGGCTGTGCTGGGGGCACCGTGCGGGGCTCAGCGTGGAGCCCAGCGCCTATCCAGCGGGTTGTGCAGGGGGGCATCATCACGTCCGGCTGTTCTCCTGCCCCAGGAGCGCCACGGCCCCGTGCTGCTGTCCCTGCTCTGCTCCCAGCTGGGTGTGAAGCCGGAGCAGATCGTGGAGCTGGAGCTGTGCCTGGCAGACACGCAGCCCGGGGTGAGTGCGCGGCGCCGGAGGCAGAGCCAGGGGGGAGCGGGGCAGGTAGCGACTGCCTGGGGCAGGAGCCCTGGGCGATGAAGCTCCCAAGCGGGGACAGCACCTCTGCTTCCCCTGGGCACTGGCACCGGGAGCCAGAGACACGGGCAGAGGGAGCTGAGAGGCTCCGAGGGAGCTGGGAAGCAGGGAGGGGGCATGGTCGGGTCCCCCAGCAGCTGGGGGGCGAGGCTGGGCAGGGGGTGCAGCCTGGACCCCGCACTCCTGTGCCCGCTGTCGCTGCAGACTCTGGGCGGCGCCTTTGACGAGTTCATCTTGTCCCCGCGCCTGGACAATCTGCACAGCTGCTACTGCGCCCTGCAGGTGAGCGGGGCCGGGTGGGGCGTTGGGGGTCCCCCCCAGCCCCTCTCCCCGCACAGCCCTGGGCAGCTGCCTCATTGCGGCCCCAGGACCGGGGGTGGGTGGTCCCCGGGGACTCTGCTCTATGCTGGGCGGAGGGGTCTTGTTCTCAGCCCCGTGCCCTGCTCTGCCCCCAGGCCCTGATCGACTCGTGCACGGGGCCCGGTGCCCTGGCACAGGAGCCCAACGTGCGCATGGTCGCGCTCTACGACAATGAGGAGGTGAGGGGCTGCGCGTGGGGGTGGGGTCAGCACCCCTGGGGGCAGGGGGACACCGACCTGCACCCCCAGACATCCCCGGCTGGGTCCCGTGCGGCCAGGGGAGGGTGGCGCTGGGGGGACCAGTCTCAGCATCCCAGCGCCACCAGCCTGGCCCAGCCCCCGTGGACTCCTCCGGCCTAGCCCCTGCTCCGGGCAGGCCCAGTCCCTTCCCAACCCCACAGACCCAACCTGGTCCAACCCAGGCCCGACACCCCCAGCCCCAGGGACAGCAATGAGGCCCAGGGATACCAAGAGGTGGTGGGTGCTAGAGACGGCCCAGCCCGAAGCCTCCCCCCCGCCAGCCGGGTCAGGCTGAGCAGAAGGCAAATCCCTGCCTGCCCCCCAAGGCAAGAGCCTCTAGCCAGGACCCTGCGGCGCTGAGTCCTGGCAGGAGCCCTGGCACAGCTGGTCCCAGCTCCCAGCCTGGGCTGCAGCCAGCACCCAGCGTCCCTGGGAGGGGGCGAGAGGAAACTGGACCCATGGAGCAACAGCAGGGGAAATATTCCTCCCCGGTGTCATGTGGCAGCCAGCAAAGCCCGGCAGCTGGGAAACCCCCGACTCCTGCTCTGCCTCGCAGCTGGGGAGCCACGAGCCAAAAACACCACGCCCCCCACTTTTGTTCCTCCTTCCCGTGATCTTGCCTCCGCTTCTTTAATCTTCTTGTGTAACTAAGTTGGATACTCGGTGCAAACAGCGCAGCCCTGCCCTGGGCTACTGGAGTGGGGGGAGCCTAGCGCCGGGCTGCGGGGCAGGAGTGAGGAGCACCAGCAGGGCTGCGGGGCAGGAGTGAGGGGCAGCAGTGGGGCACGGGACTCTGGGTTGGGGTGAGGGGCACTGGCAGGACTGGCGAAGCCGGGGGCTGCAGGGGCTGGAGTAGCGGGAGGGGGGTGTCCTCCAAGGCCAGTGGTCCCGGCCTTCTGGCTGCGGGAGATGACCTGTTCTAGGGGGCCGGATCTGGCCCCTGGGAGCCGGGGGGCATCACTGCCTGGTGCTGGGCAGGTCCCTGGTGCCGCGTCCCGGCCGCCTGCCCCCACCCCACATGCATGGCAGGGGGCAGGGGTGATGCAGCCGGGGCCACACGGCTGGATGGGTTTCCCCCGCGCAGGTGGGGTCGGAGAGCGCGGCAGGCGCCGAGTCCCTGCTGACGGAGCTGGTGCTGCGGCGCGTGGCGGCCTCGCCCCAAAATCCCACAGCCTTCGAGGAGGCCGTGGCCAAGTCCTACATGATCAGCGCCGACATGGCCCACGCCGTGCACCCCAACTACATGTGAGCCGGGGCACGGGGCAGGGTGGGAGTGGCGCTGCTCGCTGGGCTCGGGCACCAGCTGACGCGTGGCTTCTCCTGCAGGGACAAGCACGAGGAGAACCACCGCCCGGCCTTCCACAAGGTGAGGGGGCCACGGCCTGGTGCCGCCCCTGCCCCCACCCTGGGAGCCCTCCCCTCTGTGCCACGGCCCTGATCGTGGCTGGGCCCCACCTAGTGCAGGGGCTGCCATGAGCCTCCTGCCACCCCCGCCCCTCCCCACGGCCTCGTGGCAAGAGGACGGGCTGAGCTGGCCCCGCGGGGCAGGTCTGGGGTCGGGCCTCATGGCATCCGTGCCCCCAGGGTCCCGTGATCAAGGTGAACAGCAACCAGCGCTACGCCTCCACTGCCGTGACTGAGGCCGTGATCCGGGAGGTGGCCAGCCGCGTGGACGTGCCCCTGCAGGTAGGCACCGGCACCGGCCCTGGCCCCTTCCCAGCACCCCTGCCTTGGGCCCAGGCACTGCCCTGGCCTCTGGGTCCCCCCGGGGGGCTCTTTGGGGCCCTGTCATGACTCCCCCGGCCCCCCAGGAGTTCATGGTGAGGAACGACGTGCCGTGCGGCACCACCATCGGGCCCATCCTGTCCTCGCGCCTGGGGCTGCGCGTGCTGGACCTGGGCTGCCCGCAGCTGGCCATGCACTCGGTGCGCGAGATGGCCTGCACCTCCGGTGTGCTGCAGAGCATCGCCCTCTTCAAGGTGAGCCCTCCCCATGCTGCACCTTGTTGACCTTGACCCCCGCCGGGCCCTGCTCACAGCCTAGCTACCCCGGGGGCGGCAGGGCTTGCCCCAAGTGGGTCCCATCCACCCCCCCAGCCTCTGCCCCCCCCAGCTGGTCCCTCCCTGGCAACTGGTATCCCGGAACGGTTGCCACAGCAACCTGGCAGCCTTGAGTCACTGATGGGTTGCCATGGCAACACCATCCCCGCACTGGCTGCCACGGCAACGCCTGCAGAGCCTGATGATGCTGGGCGCTGGCCGGCAGCGCCCCCGCCTGCTGCCACCCCCTGCCCTGATCTCCCCACTCTTCCTCCAGGGCTTCTTTGAGCTGTTCCCGGCCGTGAACCGCAGCCTGGTCATTGACTGAGGAGCCGGAGCCGGAGCGTTGCCATTAAAGGGTGTGACCCAGAGCCTGGCTTAGCGTCTGTGTACCAGGGGCAGGGAGCTCTGGGGCTGCCCTAGCCGGCATGGGCTGCGTTCACTCTGGAGCCTATTGACACAGCAGCCAGGCCAGGACAGGGCCACCTCTGCCCCTGATGCTGCGGGGACCCGGAAGGCGGGTGGTGCAGCAGCCCCGGGGCTCATGTATGCCCACAAGGTGGGGAGGAGACGCACCTCTGTGGCCCCACTCTGCTGCCCCGTGGCACCAGCTGGAACGGGAATGGCCATGCCAGGGTTTCACCCCTCCCATGGCACGTGTGTACCTTTGCATGCACATGCATGCACATACACGCATGGTTGCATGGATGCACACAAGCAGACATGCATGCACACACACCCCTTTAGAAGAGCAGGGCAGCAAGCAGGCCTGGGGCTGCGGAGGGGCTTCCCTAGGAGCAGAGCCTGAGGCCAGGCCTAGGAGGGACGCTGGAGGGGACAGGAGCAGGGTTTGCACCGCTCTGAATGGGGAAGAGAAAGTCCCCGGGGTTTATTCCTGCCTGTCTCTGCCCAGACAGAGCAGGGGTCCTGGCATGGGACGAGCAGACTGGCAGCTGCCAACCAAGCCCAGCCCACGCCCCGGCATGGGGCATTCAAGGGGGGACTCATGGCCCTGGATGTGGCAGAGCTGAGAGCGCAGCTGGATGCACCGGGGACCGGACACGTGCGGGGAGGAAAGGGGCACGGGGAGTGCTGGGGCAGGGAGCGAGGGGCACGGCCTCTGCACCAGCCCTGCCGGGACCCTCCGTGCTGGAGCAACAGGGGAAAGCCCTGCTCGGCCCCGGGCACTCGCCCGCCAGCTCCGCTCTGCCCCGGGGCACGGGCGCATCCATGGTGCAGGGGGACCACAGGCTGCTCCCAGGTGCTGGGCAACAGGTGTGCAACATGTGCTGTGTGACGCGCCTGGGCTGTGCAATGTGTGTGTGACATCCGTGCTGTGCACCGCGCGTGTGATGTACGCTGCCAGTGTGCGGGACTTGCATGCCCAGGAGCTGCAGGCCATGCTCCAGGGCCTGGGAGCAGAGGCTGGCTCAATGCAAACCCTGCCCCCAGGGAGGCCAGGGCCCCCAAGCCCCCCCGTGTTGCTCAGGGTTACACCCTGGCCCTGGGAAACCTAGGGGAGGGGAGAGCCCCGCCCAGGGGCTGCGCCCCAGCCCCATGGCCCCGGGCATGCCCAGGCCTCCCCTCGCCCAGGCTGGTACGTGGACCCCGCAGGCTGAAGCCCAAGGTGTCCCAGGTGTGGGGGGCTGCCTCCACCCCAGAAGCCACCCCCAGCGGGGAGGGGCCAGGTGCATGCTCCAGGAGGGCATGGCTAGCACCCCAACTCTGATTGGTTCTCCTGTAAGGGGCGTGGCCCTGCCCTGGGGAGCTGGCCTCTGATTGGTGTTGGTAGCAGCTGCGGTCCAGGGGGTTGGCATGAGCTAATCAGGCTACCCGGGACCTTGGGGGCGGGGGCATGCAAATGAAGTTATGCAAATATGGCATCCTTTTAATCGGGGACGGGTGCTAATGAAGGCAGAACGGACCACGTTGCTCCGGGTGCTAGGGCGTGGCCTGGGAGGGCGTGGTCCCAAAGGGGCTAGGCGGCGGGAGGGGCTTGCCCTCCATCTGGGCAGTGATTGGTCCAGCTTAGGGGGCGTGTACCAGCCCCAGGTGTGACCCCCAATGCGGGGGTGGGCGGGGCTAGTCGGAAGTGCCAGCAGCACTTCTCGGGGCGGGGGGGGGGGGGGGGCGCGCCCGGCCCCCCCCCCTGCCATTGGTTCGTCCTCGGGGGGGCGTGCCCCAGTGCCGGCTGGTGATTGGCTCCTCTACGGGGAGGGGGCGGGGCTCCACTAGGGACCTCCATCCCGCGGGGGGGGGGCGAGCCCTGCGGC